ACACACACACACACACACACACACACACACATAGAGACATGTCTCAAAAAATTTGTCAGGATGATTCGAAACGTCAATAAACGTGGACAAATCATGGAAACTCCTTATTTGATTTTCAGAATCATTACAATAACTTCCTTCGAGTCGAAAAGATGAAAAAAAACGCGATTCATGTCGAAAGTCTCGGCGAGTCTTGGTTCCGCGGCGGTAGCGTCTCGGTCTCGTCTCGTTTACCCGTCGGTATCATCTCGGTCTCGTCTCGGAGATTTTCCAGTGGTATCGTCTCGGTCTCGTGCGCAGCCCTCCTCAAAATTGATGTATTGTCAGAAGAAGAAGACGAAAACGAGCCTTTGAATCTTCAAATCGCGTCATGGTATAGAACCACTCGACCATTTTATAGCCCACAATCATAGAATGACAGAATTACGACAATACGACATAAAGTACAAGACACTAAGACCACCTCAGAAGACCTTTGTATTCGTTAGCAATTAGTTTCAATGAAACGATTGCCCACCTAAGACTTCTCAGAGTGCTAACGCATTTGTCGTTTTGGTTTTACTTCCCTTCTTCTCCTGTTTCTGTCTTTTTAGTCTCGCGTGCCACAGTGGCACCGACTGTGTCCGCGTCTACCAATGGTATAAATACCTGAATGTATCTATATCTCGGCGTCTCGGTGGAAGAACAAAAGATACCGGGTGCCGTGCGTTCTTATTCCGTAGATAAATGCAACAATTATTGGTTGATGTTTGTTTGAGAATGTGATGGTCGTTTACTCAGATCATTTGAGGTTGATAGAATAAGTCAGAAGAAAGCAAAAGTGTCTTTTACTACTTCCACCGATGATTCCATCGATAATCCGACAGTCGACAATTCAGGAGTGATGTGGTTAGCTGAATCGGGTTTTGGGGAATATCTCGAAAGATATGGGAGATGGGGATATTTTAATGAGGACCTTTTTCTGGAAAGCGAAGTAAGAATTATGGAGAAGGTCCGTATTGAAATTTCGCCATCGTCATCATATTGCGACATATTTATCACAAATTCACCCTATATGGAGGGAAAATAACATGTTTTCGAGCATGTTTGGTTTGAACCACAAAAATTGCAAGTTGACAATTATCGGAAATGCAAAATCTCGTGCTGAACAATTAAATCCTTAAATAAAATAATTATGAGCATATGATCATATGATAGCAGTCCTGTAACCTAGGAACAAAAATATTTTTAATTCACTTCACTTTGTAGGAGATATTTTCATCCTGAAACGGCAATCCTGCTCGCATGATCCATTTCTTGAGTCAAATATTTCATGGAAATGTTTTTTTTTACAATTTTCAACTTGCGATTTTTTTTGTGGAAAGAAGATTTGTTTGAGCACATCTTTATTTTCTCTCAGTGTATAATGTTATGTGAATCTCACATTCTACCACTTCGCCAGTGAATTCATTACCTCATGGATTTCCAGTGGGACTTACGCCATCGATGGGCAACAAAATGTCACCATCGCCACCCACACCCACCTCAGTTGGCCATCAGAACGGATTAACACCGGTTGCGTTATCCTGGCCAAGTTCCCATACAGTACATGATATTCTGGCAACCGGAATTCCAACTCTACCTACGAATTCATTGTCCTCGTCGCTATGCCAAGCTACTCATCATCGAGGTATCAGCAACGACAATCAGGGAAACAGTAACGGTAGTCATAATAATAATAACGATGAGGAGGTGTCCAATGGATATCATCAACATTCGCATCATCATCATTCGCAGTATTATGCGTCCTCTTTATATCATCATCATCATTCTAATGGAGGGGGAGTTGGCTGCAATGGCTCACCTGGCCTGTCACTCCAACCGGTCATCATTCAAAATGGTCACAGCCAACCTGCTAGCCCATGTAATTGATCTAATTCGGATAAAGCATTTTCGTTTTTATAGTCAATTGTTGAGTTTCTCCTTATGGAAATCTTCAAAACTAGAGGCATATTTCAACACCGACACTGAATTTGCTAAATACAGAGACCCATTGCATATAATGGAGTCTCTTTATTTTAATAACAATTGACATTCACTACAGAAATTTTAATTCTCATATTCCTATTAAACGATATACATACAGAATTCTACTGAATTGAAATATACCAACCGAAAAGGGAACTTGCATGAAGCTCAATTCTTTCTAATTCCCCTATTCACCCATTCTTCATAACATATGGGCTAGCTAAACGGCGAAAATTATGGAGAAATATTGACTAGATGTCTTATGATAATTAATTAGAAATTACTCGTATTAGGATTATGGCGATAAATGAAAACACTCGTGATTGATTATTTGAATTTAACTGGTTTTATTAATGAGGGCACGTCTTTACTCTTCAAAGCTCTCCGAGAGACTGATTCGACACAAAGAAATTGGTGACGAACTCTGGTCAAAAATCTGATCCATAAAGAGGCATTCTTCCCACTCCTCCACTCTACTGAGACTGAACAAAATTCTTATAAACACTCTGACTCCGGTGTTATTAAACATACAATTCATACCAAGAAAAATGAACTCATTAGAGATGGCTTTTTGCCTTCATCTACGTCTCACTCATATAATAATTCCAACAACTCGATTTCGAGGCCAATTTTTCGGTTATGACGCCACAAAGACGGTCAGGTAACATTTCATTCGTCGAAAAAGAAGAGAGTGGGGAGTTGTTCTCCATTGGCTGAGGCGCACCTCAAGAGTGGGTTAAGTCGGCTCGAGCCATTCTGTCATTGGTCCAGCACTCAACCGTCCGTGTGACGTCATTAGCGATTTCAAAGCGTCTGAAATCTTCAACTTTTAATAATAAATTATTAATTAATGAGCAATACTTCGAACGTTTGTGAATGAAAAATGTATTATTCAGATCCCAAAGTTGAGATTAGAAAATAAACAAAAAATTCATGCAAGTTCCCTATTACCCATACTTGAATTATACCTATCGAATTGGGCAAAAAAAATTGGACATTTACAAGTTTGAATTGTACAAGTGGAACTCACATTGCCCAATGTGTAATTGGCATGGTACAGTGGACTCTTGCTAGTTGCTCATCGAAAGGGCTGTAGGGGTACCATGTCCAAGAAATTAACAACTTTCTACCGGCTCCCACTCCTCAACCAATGCCGACCCAAGTTCTCAGAAAAAATAGAGGGAATGAATAGTTTTATTTTCGAATGAAATTATTTGGACCTCTGTGTTTACGTACGGAGGGCAAACAAAAGCGATAAGGCGGCCGAGAGTGGGGTGCAGCGCTCGAGCGGCTGAGAAGGGGATTAGGGGAAAACGACCAACTAACGAGCGTCCAACTAGCAAGAGTCTAGTGTACACTAGTTTAGTAAGATTCTATATGTATATCATTGCGTGTAGCAGGTCATTTTGTAGAAAAATTGCCGTATTGTTATTGAAGTATGCCACGTTAAGGATATCCAAGTATTTTGACTATTTTTTCAACAGTGAAATGCTTCCCTACTTTTGTAGTCGAACATCAGAGCTTTCATTTGAGCCTCATTTGACCCTAAGTTTTCGGCCATTTTATAATGGTTTCATTTTTTAAACTTTGCAGGTCTGAAATTGAATCTCGATAGTAAGCCGTTGGAAAACATTTTAAAAATCTGAAAACTAATTAGAAAGTTTACTTTTGGAGGAAGATTGACGAAATGATGGAAAAATTGCAATTTTTAAAAATTACGAGTACTTTTTATGAATAATTTGTAAGCAATCAGTTATCTACCATAGAAATCATTTGTTTGGAATCGTAACGAATTCATTCATATTTAGAATTTTACCAGAAATCGATTTCATGCCTAAAAAAAGAGATTTCCGGAAGTTTAAACAATTTTAATTATTTATGTATAAACAACAAATGCTTGAAAAAAAAATAATTCCGTGCAAAAAGTAATTTTAATGATGCTGAATATTCATGATTTTTATCAAATTTGTCTCACCCAGTTTAATTGACAAATTTGATGATTGAAAATGTGTCTAAAATGTGGTCTGTACTGAGCTATAAAAAATACTTGGATATCGTTAAGGGGAGACCGCGGTAAAATTTAAGAGTTGCAGGGGGTTATTTCTATTGTGTAATGACTTCGGTACTTCTTTTTTATACTCAAAAAGTGAAAAAAAATCCAGTTTCAATGTTTGTCATTGACGGCATGTAGCTGTACAGGCATAAAATCCTCAAAATAGTCCCCTTACCAGGATTGTCAATGGATTGACTGGAATTTTGGTTTTCACACACATAATGTAGTAACGGAAAAAAAATGTTAGCGTTGTTGAAAATCCCAATTTTTCCATTTATATTTCTTAGAGTTAGTAGAGGCAATCATCTTTCGATATGGTTCAAATTAAAGGCCATGACATATCAAAGAATTATAATAGTTTTTTAATTTTTTTGATTATTAGTTTGGAAGTTTGCCAAAATGAATGATCAAAAACAAAAATAAGTGCAGTTTATAGGTGTCCCTTTATTTTGCAGCATAGTAAAATATGATTGTGTCTACAAATTCTTAGCGAAAAAATGAAAATAAAAATTTGATTTTTCAAAAAAGCTTGTATATATTGTTTCGTCACTATATTATCTGTGTGGAAACTAAAGTTCTAGTCCATACATCGAAAATCCCGGGAAGGGGACTATTTTGAAAACTTTATGCCTGTGCAGCCATATGTCGTTAATCAAACAAATAAAACACGTTTTGTTCTCATTTTTTGAGTATAAAAAATGAGTTTTAAAATCATCGGCATGATAGGGACAGTCCCCTGCAACTTTCAAGTTTCTACCTCGAAATATCAGTTAAATACCTCTATCATAGAACTTCCTACAATAGAAGTCTTGTGACAAATTTCTGTGAAGCTCTCCATTTTGAAAATATTTGCAAAATTACTTCAGAATCAAATTACATTAATTTGAAACACATCATATTTTATTCAAGCATCGTCAATTAGTCTGTTTGCCGAATAATGCAATACCTTTCTTGTAGTTGGAAGAATTTTCTTCCAAAAAAGTCTTCTCATAAATTTCTTCAAACTACTTCCTCTCGGAAATATTGTAAAAATAAGAAGAGTAATTTCAACTCATCTTTTTTCGAAAATGTACCACTAATTTGGAAAATATCGTTATGGTTTCGATGATCATTAAGGCGACGACAGCCCAGTGACGCGAGTCTGACACGAGCGCTCATTATATGGAAAATTGAATTTCATATTTTGGTGATAATGCGATGTTACAAGGCGGAAAATTAAAAGACTATTAATAACTAAGTTCAAGAATGTGTTTTTCACAATGGATTTTGAGAATCACGGCACCCGCTTTTGGACTCTCATCGAGTTTTGAAAGATAATTATTAATTTGTGGGGGGTGTTTGCAGGTTCGAATGTGGGACAATTGCAGCAGTACTGGTTTCGCTGATGTAGAAAGTATTTTTTATAATTAGAAAATAAGATATTGATGTTGCGGATCTCATTTGATTTACGTCTGATAATTGAATCTTTGTAAATCGAAGCTCCTAATTGTATTATATTATATAAATATGAATAAAGGGATATATTGTCATGTTGATTAAACAATTGATCAAAAATTAATTTTCGTCAATCTTATCATTCAACTATCAATCGATCCTTTATAGCAATACCGTGGGAAAGAAATACGGAAAAGAATTGAATTAAAAAAGATCGCGAAATGGAGAATGTGTAATTAATAAAAAGAGAGAAATCTATAATTGCAGTTGTGCAATCACGGCTGGGTAATTATTTTTCTATGCTGCAGTCGAGAGACATCTGAGACGCGAATACCATGCTGAACTACCTGGCACACCACACACTCTTCCGTCTCTTGTTGGCGACATTCGAGATTTAGCACGCCTTGGTTCCCCCGTGCGACTATTGAGGCGTCACGGCTAAAGTAAAAGAATTGTCTTTTACTTTTGCTTTCTACCCGACTAAAAAAATCGTAAGGCTGACTTGATGTCACACCAGGGCCGAGTGCCACATAAGTACGGCAGCCTGACATCAGGCATGCTTAATCAGGTACGAATATGGGCCGTATCTGGCTTGCCGGCCTCCGGCAAGCCGTATATGCTATGTACCCGGCCCTGATTGATGTGAAATAAGGCTAGCCGGTCTTTGACAAGCCGTATACGTTGTATGTCATGCCCTGATTCACTCCGAGTAAGGCTTGCCGGAGAGGGGTGAACTATACAAACTAAACAAATTGAATTTGATCGTCCTCCATCAATAATTAACCATAAAAAAAATGATTTTCTATTCGAAAAAGTAACCTCATATTAACCGGATCAGGCCCTGAGGAGAGACGTACATCAGATCCGGAGCCAGTGAACGTGATCAGGCCCTGTTCTACCAATGCGTTTCATGCCTGATACGGGCCGAGTATTGTTCGGGTATTGTTCTTGCAAAATCATTAATGAAAAATTGAATAAACCATGCGAAAATTCCGTATTGAATTGAATCATTCACATATTTCGAGGTTGAAAACCTTGGAATGAGTTATTAATTTTTTATTACAGTTCTTTTTTCCCTCAGAATATTATATTTTTTGTTGCTTTTGTGGGTGAGAACCTTTGAAATTTGATGACCAAAACCTCTACTCCACCCACCGCACTCCATTTCGTCAGAGTTCGGTAGTCAAAAAGGCGAATGACTCTACAAATCCCGAGGGTGTCGACGCATTTACGGGAAGAGCGTGTCAGTTTTCTCCTACACCCCGTTCTTTTCTATTTTATAGCTAAGATCGTAGAAGTTGCTGGAAAATATGTAACGTCATTTATTGCTTTCTGAAATGACGACACTGCTTTTTCGGGATATTTTGGGGCTTCAACATTCTATTTGAATGAAGTTTAGATGAATCAAGAGAGTACTCTTGTCCTCAAGACGTTTATTCTTGCGGTGGCTCGGTTGCTGAATGTTCTTCGGTCGATTAA